TATCAACCATATCAGCAGGCTGGGCCCGGTCCACAAGGCTATCCAGGTCAAGGCCCACCTCCGCCACAGACACAAGGCAATCAGCCTTCAAATGCAACACAAGGTGGGCCACCTTAATCCAAATGCTCCACCTCCTGGTAGTGGTTATCAGTTCATCACCCAGTCCTGGCCAAACACCACCACCCAATCAGCAGCAGCCACCTGTAAGCGGTGCAAACGGTCCGCAAAATCCAGCAACAAGTGTGCAATCAACGCCGCCACCCACTCAGCCGCCAACGAGTAGTTCCAGTGCAGTTAGCACGGCTGGCCCAACACCAACATCCCAACAGGCGGGGCAACAACAACAGTCGTCAGCACCACCCGGGCCGCCGGGACCACCTGGAACAGCTTCACAACAGCAACAACAGACACCACAAAATTATCCTCCGGCTTCCAACAGTGGACCGCCAACGACTGGACCCCAGGCGACATACTCTTCACCACCGTCCAGTGTGGCTGGTAACAATTCACCATATGCTCAGCCACCGCCGCAGCAAAATCCACCCGGTAGCGGACCACCTAATACCACAGCTCCTCCATCGAATGGGGCACCACCACCAATGGCTCCGAAAATCAACCACCACCCGGTGCACAGCCACCCTATGGGGCACCACCGCCACCACAAGGTTATGGTCCACCACCACCCGGTGGATATGCCCAGCATGGTTATCATCAGCCGCAGGGCGGCTATGGTGCTATGCCACCTCAGGGACAGTATCCGCCGCCATCACCGCATACAATATTTATATCAACAGTTATTTGAAATGAAGTTTCGAAACCCATATGGAAGTATATTATAAGAAAAGATTTTGAAAAGTGTATTCAAACTTTTCGCTCTATTGAAAAAGGAAAAACACTTTACATAGATGATATGCAATTAGTGAGCCTATGCTGCCGTCGAACACACATTGGACCAAAAATACTAATTTGCGGTATTGAGATGGGATTTTTTACAGCGTGGGTCGGTATTTAAAATTTTAGTTTTGTGGACCATGTTCCTAAAATACTCTACATACTTAAAGATAGGGACCATATTTAAATATGGATACCATCATGCACCCATATCGATAGAAAACGTATCCAAATAATTTTTGTACGATGATTTTGCACCCTACTAGATCCTACATTTTGAATTATATTATAAAAATATATAAGATTAAAGACAGTTCGGGGCTATAGAGAAACGCGGACTGATATAGAAATTGATATGGCCACATTTCGATATCGTGATCAATAATATAAGAATTTTGTAGAATAAAATATGAATAAGAAAATGTTAATATACCATTCATACAATGATGAAATACAGACCGGAAATGGAGTATGTGACTGGGAATAATGCCCAATTTGAGAGAAAGTAAGACTGTCTTCAACGTGAAAGAAAGGCAACGTTGTGATTGGTGTTTTGAAGAATTTTAACAAGTGGAAAGAAATATTCCTCTCTAACACAATACACAAATCTCTGGCAACAATAATACAGAAAAAAAAAACAGTGAGCGGAGCAGTATAGTCGGAAGCCGCTGAACATATGATACCTTACACAACTTCCAAGAAAATCCAACTTTCCATGGTTCTATATTCAGAGCTTGGGCCATGGACATATATTTATAATTTATAGTGGGGAGATTTGCTACCTAATAAGAACTCGACGTACTAACAGTCAATTCGGTCGAAAATACGATCAGAACCCCCAAAATACCAAAAATTTGGGGGTACCGTTATATGGGGACTACCGGAAAAACTGGACCTATATTTATAATTTTTAGTGGAGTAATTTGGTACACAATAAGAACCCAATGTACGAAATTTCAGAGAATTCAGTTATCAAACAAGCCCAAGAACCCCAAAATACCGAAAACTGGGCGTACCCTTATATGGGGGCTATACGAAAATATGGACCTATATTTATAATTTTTAGTGGAGAGATTTTCTACCCAAAAAGAACTCAAAGTACCAAAGTTCAGCGAATTCTGTCGAAAAAAGCGATCAAAAAGCGGATGGGAGCTATCCGAAAATATGGACCCATATTTATAATATTTAGTGGCGAGATTTGCTACCCAATAAGAACTCAAAGTACAAAATTTCAGCGAATTCAGTTTAAAAACGCGCTAAAGAACCTCAAAATACCGAACGTTGACCTAAACGTGGACCGATTTTCTCCAATTTCAGCAGGGTTCGTTATTGGACCAATTAAGTGACCTGTGCCAAATTTCATCCAAATCGGATCATAAATGCGACCTGTACTTTGTTAACAAAAATTCATGGACGGACGGACAGACGGACATGCATAAATCGACTCAGAAAGTGATTCTATGCATATTCTCAAAAGAAACCATGGGTCTATCTCGATTACTTTTGCCTGTTACAAACATATGCAAAAATACATAATACCCTGTACCATAGTGTGGTGAAGGGTATAAAAAATATTAAAAAATCTAGGGGTCTTCACTGGCCAGAACCCATCCTACATGCAAAATTTCGTGAAGATTGGTCCATAACTGTGGCCTATATCGTGTTTACAATTTATAATGGTCAGACGAACGGATGGACGGACACACTGTGTAGATCGACTCAGCTTGTCGAGATATGACGATCGGTATACTTAAATAGGACCAATATTTCGCGACGTTACAAACTCTTGGGACTGCACAAAGCCTTTTTGCATTTATCAAACCCGCTTGTAGTTACGTCTTTTTGTTTTTTGTTAATAGAAGCTCCTTTTTTGACCGCAGACGTGTAAAACTTTGTCAACACATGTAGTTTATTGACATTCACAATATTCATTCAAAAACTCAATTTTCAATTTTTTGTTAGTTACGCCTTTTTGCATTTTAGCTGACGATATGCATCTTAACAATTTCATGTCAATGTTCCTTCCAGGAAAATTGAACAAATTTAAATAAGTGATCTTTTTTTCTATGTGAACCGACTACCATCAATCCATACACTTGCCTTTCTGCAACTTAAACTAAATTTCATTTCATTGGGCAACTTGAGTACAATGGGGCACATTAGTGTAAATCGATTTATAACAAACTCGATATGGAATGTTTGCAAGAATTCATAAGGCTAGTGCCTTATGAAAGGATGAAAACAATGAGCCTTTTTCGGGACATTTCCATTGGGATTATTGGGCTTTGGTCCCAATGTCATAGCCTTACACCCTTGAAATTACCTTTTTGATGTAATTTGAATCATCGTTACAATGTCTAACAGTCCCTGAACGATTTCAATGCGACGTTGTTTTTTGCTGCAAATTTGTGCTTTTGTCCCAATGCCATAGCCTTACACGCTTAAAACATCATCCGTTATGACCTTTTTGATGTAAACTGGATGACGACTAATCTATTTTTCATTAACCGTTTGTTCCAACGTAACTGAAAAATAACTGAAACTGGCTACAATACAACATACGTAGCTCACGCCAATTTGAAATGAAAGGAATTATCGAAAGTTTCAATCTTCAAGAACCCGTAATTAGAATTTTCTCAACAACTATTTTGTTGAGAAAATGAAGTTTAATTTAGAAATTTTAAAATAATGAACATGGTGCTTGTCCATCATATAGAGGCTACAGCTGCTTTTGTGACAAATATTTGGCAAAATTGTTCAATATACCAAAAATATTGGGTGTCAGACTCTAATTACGGGTTTGTTCAGATTTTTTACAACTACTAACGTGTTTTTTTAAGGATCGGTTTTGACGATCGGCTGAAAATTCCGACATGAATTTTTATTAAAAAAATGGGCGAACATAAATTCACCTAGATTAAATTGAATAGGTTTTCGTTTGCATACTCATAAAATTGATAAAGTGTTGCATTGTATCCAGCCTATATGTCGCCAAGAAGTTTCCATTAATATTAAAGCCAAGACACTTTTGTATTTATTCCAAAATTCAATGTCACCAATATTCGACTGAATCGTGATGTCAATATCAACCCCAAGGTGAAGAAAAATCTATTTTAATGTAAACATGTTAAATATTAGTCACACATCTGCCCTTTCGACTTTTATGGAGGGATCATGTAACCTCGGTATTCCTCATTTTTTTTTTTTTTTTAATTTTCCATATTCGCGCACGTAGCTATACCACCGCATTTTGTTGTTTCGTTACCGAACAACACATTAATATTCACATGGTGAGCTCACGTGACCCAAATGCTAGTAAGTGTGTGAAAAAATATAAAAATCTATAAAAAAACGTAACAAAAATAACGCAATGCCAAAAAACATCCACTACGCGACTATGACACACACACTCATACATGCACCCCTCACATGTGTGTATTATTGCCGCTCATAGACGCCTAAAGTGCTATAAATCTATGTATATGTTCATGCATTTGTAACGTACAAATGTGTATGCACCTATGGCTGAGTGTGTGAGTGAGTGTTTGTCCATGTACGTCTGTAAGTGCGAAAACAAGTGTGGGTGTATTTATAAGAGGACAAAATAAAAACGATACTACTGGTGTAATTGTATGAGGTCATATATGCATACACAATACAACGAGTGTGTGTACGTGTGTTTGTGTGCCTGGTTACGATTACATGAAATCATATGGAAGAGTAACTCTTGGTGGGCAGGTGTTTTTGTTCTGTCTGTGTTGTTTTGTTGTATTTGTATGAAAAGCAATTGCATGCAAGAATACTTATTTCGGTCACTATCAGGCCTCAGGTGCATTGGCAAAGTTTATGCCAAAAACATGGGCGATGTGTATGTGAGAGTGAGTCTGTTTGTAAGTATGTGTGCAGTAAGGGCACAATATTTAAAGCTCTGTTAAAAGTGTAATGGTCCCCGGTATTCGTTCTAGTAATTTACAACTACAATTGCTGCAGCAGCAACAACAGGAGACTATGGGCTGCACCTGCACCATAACACAAAACTACTATCTCTAACAAAGAAAATTAGCAAAATGCACGAGGACAACGGTAAAAAATTAACTCTGCCAACCACTCACATACATACATGGAAACCATATATGTGGCCAACAACATAAACATAGGAGGTGACAGTGTCCTGGTGTCATTATTAAACTGATGGAAATATATAAAAACAATGCGAAAAATTTTAGTTCTCGTATGAATTGTAAACAAGTAAAAATCGGGTTCAGCTTCATCTGTTTATACGTGAATCAGAGACCACAAATTTTTGGGGTCAAAATAAAACACTAAACTTAACACATATAATATTCTACAATACGTAAGGGATATAGAAATGTGCTACAATAATTTAAAAAAGGCTTAAGAATCTTTTCTTAGTCATCTACATCTATATATAAACCTACCACAATCAGTCCATACTTATTTCATTCTGTAATCTAAGCAAAATTGTATATCAATCAGGCATACTTAAGGTCTTTGGTGTACCATATTGAAATGA